AAATATCGTATTCTGCTTTCCTTTGCAAGGTGCAGGGGGCATTTATTTACATTTTGGCTGATGCCTCCTCTAGCTATAAATCCTAATTAGCGAACTCAATCTTACCACCTATTTAAGCTGGCTATAGAAACCTTTTGACTTCTGGTAGTCATCTGGAGGTCTTAATGGGTTAGTCTGACCATATACAACCCAATCAAAACAGACCAAGCCACTGATCTGATTATTGTTAGTAGCAGGCTGTACGGAGGTTTGATAATAGGCGTTTAGCAATCATTTTACCAAAAAGAGTTCATCCAGTATGTGAAACCAATAGCCGTTTTTTGGTGCCACATTCAACAGCTGAATTGGGAAGAAGATCAGAGTGAGCCCTATCCCGCAAATATTGCTTGAAGACAGGCAGATGTTCAAGTCTGGATCCATTTCCAAATCTCAAAAAGAAATGATAGACTGGGTAACATTTTTGCCTGTGCATAGTGAGTGATGGACACTCTCAAATCAGGTTGGATATGTTGTGTCCAATATGAAGCACATTATTGCTCTCTAGCCATGTATGACCTGACCCTTAAAAAAAGAGTAAACAGGTGGCGCTAACTCCTAGTGCATTTTTCTTTTTCCAGTTGTCGATCTCCCTGTCTGAGGAGGGTGGCATTCCCGACTCGCTATCCATAGGCCACCTTTTGCCCTGTTTCCCCTGGCTTCATTTTGACAGTTGACTCCTGGAGCGCAGGAGAGTATGACCTGACCCTTGCCTAGTGGTCACAGGCATTTTTTTTATGAAAAGGGTGGCCATCTCACTTTCGATCTTACAACTTATTATCAGATCATTTAATATGGACAATACTGTGTGTTTCAGCAAACTGGAGTCACAACTCTTGGTTGATCACGTACCTCTGGAGTCCTGGTGTTCCTTTACGTCCTTACTCTCACGTCGAAACAAAAATGATTTGTACCAAAAAAGTTTTTGAATGTGCTTTGGTACCTTACTCATATCTAATTTTGTATTATTATTTTTTTTTGCACAGCAAAAAAATTACAAAAAAGAACTAGCCAGATGGAGAACACAGCCTACCCAAGCACATACTCCATACAAAGCTGTAGCCCACCCTGCTTGTTAAATACCTCTTATTGTCCCTAATCTGTTCTAACAAAAGCAATTGTTCCCCTACATGTGAACACCAACCCAGTATATTGACAAATTTCACTTGAGTTGCTTTGTAAGATATTCTTACATTATCCACGATCCTGGCATTTGTTTTTTTAACAGCTGCAATCCCTATGGAAAGTCAGTATGACACTGATTTACAAGGGACCCCAGCTAAACATTAGCTGATACCTTTACACAGTCATTACCATGTAATGTAAATACACCACTGCACGTGATTTATTTATGCAGGAGTCATTTGACTCAGTAATAGCTGATTGATTGCTGTTGTATGCAAGACAGATATTTAATGGAGGAAATGGTTGTTCACAGTCCCATTAGGTACTAGTCTTCATTTCCACAGTCTTGGGTCTGTAACAATGGTAACAATACACAATGTAACCTGACATATACAATGTGCACATGGGCATAGTTACCTGGTTTATATTTCATTGTACTTGGCTTACTACAGGGGACCACCCTACCATACTTGACTGTATACAATATTATATAAAATCATTATAGAGTCTCTGGCTCTTCAGCCTGCATCCTACATCAGTCACTAACATTGCAGCATAGTGATTATATACATTTTATTCTAATTTACTCACAAATACTAATTATGTACCTCTGGATTCCATATTAGACACATAGGGGGAGATTTACTAAAACTGGAGCACTCACAATCTGGTGCAGCTGTGCATGGTAACCAACCAGCTTCTAAATTCAGCTTGTTCAATTAAGCTTTGACAATAAAACCTGAAAGCTGATTGGTTTCTCTGCTGCACCAGATTTTGCACTCCAGTTTTAGTAAATCAACCCGGTACTCTGCAGTGATTAGTGTTAGGCCACAAAAGTGAACCTGTTCTTTGGCCAGCATAGGTAATGCAATAGGTTCACCTAACTTCCGACCCTCCCCTGCTGCTCAGTTGACCTTCAGGCATTTAGAGAAGAAGCTCTGAAAGATGTGAGAATGAAGCAAAGATAATGATAAGATCACAAGGCATTATGTGATTGGAAGAGGGGCAGATGAATGATATGACTTCCCTTCCTCCAATCACAGAATGCCTTGTACTCTGTGAAAAGAGTACAAGATGCTTTATGAATGGCTGAGGTGGAGAGCAAGTGACCCACTATGAGAGCTGTACTAGACTGGCTGTAAGTTTTGTATATGGGCTTCTTAGCAGTAAGAGTTTTACTGCAGCACAAACATTGTACAAAGGAACTATCAAAATATTGTTTTTCACAGGGTTCAGCTTTAACCTATTAATTGATCACCAGAGAATGTTCTACTGCTCCTTCAACTATGGAGCAATATATTATAATAACAGCACCCTGATGACCTGCAGCTATACGCCACCTAATGAGCCCCTTGTCTATCTCAATTTAAAGTACTGCTAGCAGAAGATAAAGATTCTACTTAATAATGTCATGCAGATCAGAGATGCTAAAGGTATAAACCTACTCAGGAGTTCCTTGGCTCTCGTTACAGTTGTCCTTGCCTTCCTGACACTTTTCCCATATGTATGCTCTGGATATGGAACAAATTGTACTTTTTCAGTTCTTGCCCTTGCTGTCTTAATTTCCTTTCTTCCAGCTCACAGCTTGCTGTTAGCCAAGCTTTACCGCTCAACTTGCGCAAAATATAGCCTTACCCCACATGCTGAAAGCTTCCTCTGTAGTATAGGGTGACTCCACACATCTGCTGAACAAAGTGACACTGCAGGGGAACCTCCACAGCTCATCAGAAGGGTTCACAAAAACCACCAATGTTCCTGATGTCAGCTCTGGTACAGTGTACATGGATTCAGGGGGTTTTGTATTACCTGCAGTCACAGGAGATTCACATTCATTGGTAATGCTGCCTGTCTACTCTGAGCTGATTTCTGCAGGTAATTCATAAACAAACTGCATAAATGCTTATGGTTACATCTGCAAATTGTAGACATATACTGTGTATGATTACAATACGTCCAAAAGCCACTAGATGCTTCAGGTATCATTTCTATATTGCCAATGTTCTGCATTTGATGATGGTGGTCTCCCAACATACAATCATCAGTACACAGTCTCAGCATGCCTTGGTCCTGGACTGAATTAAAGTAGAATTTCTGAATAAATTTAACTAGTTCTAAAAATGCTTCCTCTCTCCTCCTAACACCCCATGCTGACAAACCTGTGTAAGAAAGATGTACAGAAATGTATATAGTTACCTATTTCAGCCCACTCCGGTCCGGTCATTTAGGGCTGCAGGGGAGAAGAGGGAGCGCTCGACAACAGCTGTCAATGACTGGGAGTGGTGATGTCACCCATAGGCTCCCATGGCTCATCTATTGTTGGCCCTCTCTCCTCTCCCCTGCAGCCCCCACTGACTGACACAGGGGAGATCACGTGACTGGACTAGAGCGGCCTGGAAATAGGTAAGTATGTACATTTCTCATACACAGGTAAGTCAGCATAGGCATTAGAAGGAGGTATGGAGCATTTTTAAGACTAGTTAGGTTTATCCTGGTATTTTACTTTAAAGTGGTTGTAAACCCTTACATATACCTATTGCGTAGACTGGCTTCAGGTAATACACAGAGATTAAACAAATCCTCCTACATAAGTTGTACTTGTTTATCTGCAATATTGTCTTTTCTACATCCATTTGAAGTACTGAGTTTATATAGCTTGTTTGAGAGTTCAGAAAAAAGTGGGCGGAGAGTGGAAGTTACACTCTGCAGAGCTCAGTGAAGAGAGTTCTGAGAGCTGATTGGAGGGAAGAGACCCTCCCCCCCCCTCCACATAGCTCACATGAACAGAGCTGAGGCTGTCACTTTGCTGGATGATCCTCCCCTGTTACCATTTTTCTCTCTTGGTGTCAAAAAAACTTGTCAGAAGTGACTTATGCTGATAGCAGAGGAACGAAGCAGCAGACAGAAATGACACGTAGTGCTCTTAATTGAGACAAGTACACACCATAGAGCAGGGGTGGCGAACAAGCGGCTCTCGAGCCGCGTGCGGCTCCCGGCCAAAATGAATGCGGCTCTGGAGCGGCCGGTCCGGCATTTCCACCGCGGTCGTGTCAGAATACCGGGCCGGCCGCTCAGCACTGCAGCGGGACCTTATGGAGATGACTGCTGACCTTTGGGGAGGTGGGGAGCGGGTACCTGAATGCTGTACTATTAGTATTTGACATCTAAGGTGAAAGGACTGTCTGTGTTGAGCTCTCAATGTCTAATTTAGGCTGTGAATATTGGCCAATTGCTGATGAACTATCAAAATTCGATTTGTCATGGCCTTGTCGACACCCTTCCATCTGATATTATTTGATCAGAAAATCAAACGAGCCAGGCAGAAAATAGTCGATGAGCAAGTGCCCACATCCAGTGTTCGATTCCAGCCTTGTACAATCTGACTTATTGCTATAGACATACAGACACTGGCTGGCTACACATTCTACAATCTCCTTCAATTTGACCAATCCATTTACCTTGTATTCATTCAGGTAGACTTTCACACTACACTTGTTGGTAAATCTAAATGAGATTGTACAATCATATTGTAAGGTATATGGCTGCTTTAGACATGAGGCCCAGACTGTATGTTGGATTTAGTAAAAGAGATGTTTAATTGACAAAAGGTTCCAAAGAAATCAAAGAATATATAATATTGCACATGCTAAAGCAAAATACATTCTTACTGCATGAACAAAATAAGAACGATCTAACTAACATAAAATTATGTGTTTTTAGGAATGCAAGTGCAAGTGTAGTTATATATATCGGAGGAACCTCAGCTGCCAGAGCTTCATTTGAACACCATACCTGACATCTAGTGTTGATTTCAAGAAACGACACCAACTGCAACTGCCGATATGACATCTCACAACGACTCCATTGAGGAAAGTATTATTATAACGCATTATAATTACACGGGGAAGTACAAGCATCCTCCCAAGAATGGTCTGAAGTCAAGCTCTATTATATTTATAATTATCTGCTGCTTCATTGTATTGGAGAACATTCTTGTACTCTTAACCATCTGGCGAACCAAGAAATTCCATCGTCCAATGTATTACTTTATTGGTAACTTGGCACTTTCGGATTTATTAGCTGGCGCTGCTTACACAGCCAACATTCTTCTTTCTGGGCCAAATACATTCAAGCTGACACCAGATCAATGGTTTATACGGGAAGGAAGTATGTTTGTTGCTCTCTCTGCCTCGGTCTTCAGCCACTCTTGGCAATTGCTATTGAGCGCTACATCACCATGTTGAAGATGAAGTTGCACAATGGTAGCAAAAGCTCAAGGTCCTTCCTTCTGATTAGCGGCTGTTGGCTTCTCTCCTTATGCCTTGGAGGTCTACCAATTATGGGCTGGAACTGCTTGAAGAAAATGGAATATTGTTCCACAGTTCTTCCCTTGTATCATAAACATTACATTCTCTTCTGCACCTCAATTTTCTGCATATTATTGATGGCTATTGTTGTTCTATACGCCAGGATCTACTTCTTGGTAAGAACACGAAGTAGAAGTCTGACCTTTAGGAAAAACTGCGCCAGAACCAGCAGGAGTTCAGAGAAATCCATGGCATTGCTTAAAACAGTTATTATTGTCTTAAGTGTCTTCATTTTATGTTGGTCACCACTTTTTGTTTTCCTCTTGTTGGATTTTGGCTGTCAAGTTAGAGCTTGTGAGGTTCTCTTTAAGGCTGAATACTTTTTGTCCCTTGCAGTTCTTAACTCTGCCACAAATCCCATCATATACACCCTGACCAACAGGGAGATGAGACGTGCCTTTCTAAAAATGGCAGTCTGTTGCCATGGCTCCATTCTGAACGCAGGGGCAAAAGTTAAAAGGCCAATTATCACAGGAATGGAGTTCAGCCGAAGCAAGTCGGACAATTCTTCTCATCCACAAAAGGATGAGATGGACTATCCAGTGACCCTAATGTCCTCTGGCAATATGACTTCCTCCTCCTAACACATGGACAGCAAACTTGGATTTGATAAGCTGCTGTAAGAGGCATGGCCACCTAATGGAATATCTCTTTACCCCCTGGAAAATGCTAAGGACATGCAAAGTCCAGAAAAGTAGCATTAGTTCTGAATGGAGATGCAAAGCACTTGACTGAAAGGTAAAATAAGGAGTAAACAAACTGCATAAACTAGACAGCTGCTTGTGGAACACTAGTCTTGCCTGGAAGGATGTGAATTTCACTGAAACATATTTTAATGAAGTGGATCTGTACCTGTATTTGCAGTGCTACCATGCTATTTAATAACACTTACCCAAAGTGGATAGGACACTTAGTTATTAAATGTAGACATTCTGGGCACTTGGTTTATTCTATATACTTCTATACTCTCATCTCTCTTGAAATATGTTCTAATCATTTGAGTCAACATGAATTCTATGACCCTGGAAGAGTCTACTTTATGGATGTCCAATTTCAGTTCTGAAGGCACGAACACAGATTCGAAGTTAAGGTGTGCCAATCACAGGAACCTATATTAATCTATCAAAGTTCAGTTTACTGACATCAGAACAGTGAAAGATGAAGTCTAATAATGTATTAGGAGTTCCTGTGTGTTTCCACTCTACCCTATTCTATATAAAAAAAAAGTGATGAAAAAATAAAGTATAAAAAAAAAAAACCTAAGCCCTGGGACCTAACTGGACATCCCTTTAGCTAGCCGAAGACTGAAATGTATATAAAACAGCACCACTATATTATAATTTTGTGAAATGATGAAATGGCATTATCTACACAATAATCTGAGAATTGAGATATCATGAATTACATTTTTTTGGATAGAAAGGGGAAATGTTAGGACCAATAGCAGTATTTTATTGCATTCTTTGTCACTGGGGAGATCAGGAGACAAGTCTTCAACAGAGATAGTAGGAAAAACGTATAGTGCTATTCAAAGAGTACAAAAATAAATATAAAAAAGTATTCTTTAGGGAATTCTTGATGCCCTTAGTGCACCCTCCAGCTTCATTCTTCAAGAGGTGAAAGTGATTCTTGCTGTAACTTTGAACAAGCTGTTAGCAAGTTACAGCAAGTTATAGCATTATGTGCTCTGAACCTGAGCCTATTCATCCAAAACAAGGTATGGAGGCTGTACTATGATATGACTGGGTAGTAAGGGGCAGCAGAAGTGGAAACAGTAGCCATTTCTGACCTTTGAAAGTGTATAGAGGTCTGGTCTTGCATACAATAATGCCCTCATCACATTTCCCTATGGTGTGCTGATTGGTCTCCTATTCCCAGTGTACCAGAAGCGTATTTACCTATATAACTCAGTTACTTATGGCTGCTTTATAAAAAGAACTTCAGCATTCACTCAAGCTTATCAACTGGCCATATCTAGCCCCTGGATTTGCATATACAGTATGCAAGCCATTTGGAGTGAAAGGGTCTCCATACCTTACTGCACCTCTAACTATTTAACAAATATCGATTTGGTCAAAACAAAATAACAATCCAAGTTCCCCTTCTGCAATTCTCTGATTTTAATGAAAAGGAAAACAATGTGAATGTTTAAAAAAGATTCATTCAAATGGCCCTTAGAATTAGAGGCCCTAGGAAAGAGAAGACCATCTCTGCTGACTTCACAGAGTGAGAGTTACTAAAAAATGTTTGTCTACATTATTTCCCACCCCCAATACATGCATTGCCACCATAATGCAATATTGATCTTAACGTATAAATGCACTTTCAAAGTTTATTTTTCCCCACCTCTCCAGGTACATACTACCTTGTAATGATGCCTGTGACCTATGCACTTTGTTTACATTCTAGTACCAGTCATTGGTGCTGGCTGCACACATGTTGTAGATTTGCATTGGGTTTTATCGGACCATCTCCTAAGTGTTTCCTGCATTTAAGAGACATTCTTATAGAATAGATGTGAATCTACTACTCAGGCACCTCCAGTAATAAGGATTAGTACTAGAATGTAAACAAAGGCAGAGGTTATGTGCACAATTGCCAGGTAAGTATGCACCTGGGGAGGAGGTAAAAGAAAAAAATACAGTAGGTGCACCTTGTTTAATAGCTCACTCATCCTTCAAAATAAGCTGGTCCTGCTAAAGTATTTTGAACTATTGTACTCAATGTAGTGAAGTTAATGTCAATACATGTTATGTAATAATTTAGATATCTATATTTCATTTGAGCTGTGATATGTGTACACCAATTAATATAAGCTCTGCAGACTAAGATACGCAATGGGGTAGATTTACTAAAACTGGTGCACTCAGAATCTGATGCAGCTGTGAATGGTATCCAGTCAGGTTCTAACTTCAGCTTGTTCAATTAGGCTTTGGCAATAAATACTGAAAGTTGATTGGTTTCTAAGCAGAGTTGCAGATATTGCACCCTTCAGTTTGCAACCCCCACAGTTTGTGGAAAACATCCCTTAACAGGTGGTATGAAAAGCTAAAACATTTCACCAATGATGTAAAAACTGTGCTAAGATTTTTAGTATTGGATGGGGTGGAGATAGAGTGTTGACTTTTTATTGTTGTCTATGTCTTTGTTGGGGAGATTTCCCGACTGCTTCCTATATTTAATAGGACAGAATGTTGGGGACAACCACTCCAATGGGGGCCCAGATTGCAAAATAGTCCAGAAAGAGCTTCCAGTTATTCCCTACACTATCCATTTTTTTTAAACAAATGGCTGGAGTTCCATTTTAAGTACACAAAAAACTGATATTTCAGCTTCAAATGAAGGCAGCTGGACTCCATTTCTATATCTATGGATTCCCTTAGAAAGATCTCTTTACTAAAATTCTCAGCTGCACCCCATCATAAGCATTCAGACAATATCTCACTGCTCTATTGTATGTACAGCAGAGGTATTTAAACTGTGAAACTAAGACTCCCTCAAAATGAGGGTGACAGGTGGCAAAACATGGGAATGTCACCATCAGAGTCCCTGAGATGTATAAGAAATGAGTGTGATTCAACTCACCGATACCTGACAAAACTGAAATAATAGTTTAGGGTGGTGTGATTCATTAAAAACACTCAAAGTTGCTTATATTAAACACCAGTTAAGTAGATGTGCCATGTCATGCTCATATATTCAGCCTGCATGCCATTTATTTTCTGATGAAGTCTACTTTTACCAAAAGCAAAATGTTTATGACATTATCCAAGTGTTGATGTATTTTAGGTGCTTGTTACATCAATTAAATGATTTTCAGTTATCTATTAGGAAACCCGTGATGAGAGAAACTTGGACGCTTTCATTGTTGACCTCCCCTGCTGGCTGTTATACTGAAACTCTGGGTTCAGTACTTTGACCCATGACAAATGGGCTGATAAGAATGTCTGACTTTCCTGATCTTCACATGCTTTTTCCAGGGCATTGAAGGCAGACAGTTAGTATGAAGTTTCCCCAGTGGCAACCCACATGTTTCTCTTGTCACGGGTTTACTTGAAAATAAATGATTCTTTCATAATTGGATGCATGTTAACTCAGCCATTTACTGTCATTTACTCTTCATTATTTTACAAATGTTTCACAGTTAAAATGACACAAGATAAAATAGGTATACAGCCACAACTTGTATATACACTTGTATGGCACTTATTTATTGGCACCATCTAGAGCCACTCTGACAAAGAGGGTATGCCAGTTAACCTGTGATACAGTTCCTAAATTGAGTAATTATTCTTGTATACTGAACATAGACGTGTCCTGATAGCTTGGCAGTGGGTTGTAACTGTCTACCACCACAGTAAGGGCTAAGCTAGTCATTTTGAGGTGTATGTATGGCCAACACTCTTTTTGTTAGTTTTGAGTAGACCACTGTCAATGTAATTTTTTGCTGCCTGTGATTGTTAGAGAGATTTCCTTTAATTTTCAACATGAAGTGAAAGAAAATCTTTACAAATTGATGGGAATCCCCCTCTTATACAGTTATCCTCAGAACATTTGTCACTATGGAATGATTTTCCTTCACTTCTTGTTCTGGTGACATTTTGTGTTTCCCATCACTTTCTGTCTCAGTGACAATCATCACCAGGACAGAGATGGAGAAGGTATCGTGTGGGGACCAGACATCAATACAATGTGATAGGGGTTCTAATGCTTGTCTACTCTGTCCGAATCTATAAAAAAGTTTTGACTATACATTCACTTTCATCTTCTTCTACTGAGAGATTTTATCGCTTGTTGGCATTCCCCTTAATACATTAAAATTGCTATTGCTCAATCATAAGGGATATCAATTGATCTATTTATGGAGTAAGCTAAACAAGTAGCCTGTAGTGACATGTAGTAGCAATCAATCTCGATCAATGGTCGTACAATGTGCTAATCGTGTGCAATTGATTGTTACAAGATGCTACAGTTACTAACTTGCTCCACGGGGAGCCATCTGTTTCAAGTGTTTATCCATCTATTGCAACTTCTAATGATTAATGCTGAACTATAGGGAATACAAAAATCCTCACACTGAAGGGGTTAAATGCTCGTTTAGGTCTAGAGTACAAGTAAAGTTTTACTTGCCTTATCTCCCCCTCCCGCAGGCTCCCTCTGCACTGCTAGACCGGTCTCTGCAACCTCTACTTCCCCATGCTCCGGTGGTTTCAGGTCCTCTGATGTCATCACATTCAATGCAGGGCCCATATCTCTGTATAAATGTGAGCACAGTGATGGCAATCACAAGTGGGAGCATAGGGGAGTAGGCGAGAGTGCTGGCTGCCAGGAGAGTGGACAATCAACTAAGTGAAATGACCCTTGCCTAGTGGGATTCTTCCTTTCCTCAGAGATGGGCTTTGTCACAACTGAGCTACTAAAAATCTTCTTATATAGCTCTAGTCCAATTAAGTGACCACCAGCAAGTGCTAAAGTAATTTGGTATGTGGAGAGAAATGGCACAGAAGTGTATGTGACCAACACATTGGAAGGAGATGGCTTGGGCATCTGGGAGAGGTGGTGGAGTGATTCCAAAACATTATAGTGCAGCACCTCTCAAGAAACTATAGATTCTCTACAGTAATAGATAAGGAAAGCAGAGGACACATCTGAGTGTAGCAGTGAAAAAAAAATAATGTATTCACACAACAATTTGCAACTTACAAGACAATGTAGTGATATCATGCATATAGATATAGAAACGTCATTTGGGGTTAGCGTCCGGGGATGGACTTTCACAGAACAGGATGAGCTTCCTTGGGAGGAATTGCAGTGCCTGTATCTGTAAAGCAAAGGAAATGCCACAGATGGCAGCAGACTAAGTGTAGCAACAGGCAAATGAAAAGTAAGTTATGTAAATAGCAACTCACAAAGGTAGAGGGATAAGAGTCCTATAACATGTGGGTCTTCTGCATGGCTCCATTCGTCCATGAATCATCCAGATCTAGGAGAGACTATCGGGGTCCTGCTGTTACTGGAGCCTTTGGATGTGCAAGGGAGCCAAGGAGGACATTAGAAGACCACAAGATGGCCATCTCCCAGTGCTCTCAAGGGCTCCCATCCACATTCATAGGCTCCAGTGACAGCTGAATCTCGCTCGGCTCTCCTACATCTGGATGATTAATTAATGATTGGACCCATGCGAGGTGGAAGACCCGCATGTTGTAAGGTTCTTAACCTTCTTCCTCTGTGAGTAGCTATCTACATAGCTTGCGTTTCATTCACCTATTGCTACACTTAGCCTGATGCCCCTGATGGCGCCTCTTTAGCATTACAGCTACCGGAGCTGCAGTCCCTCCCAAGGAAGCTCATCCTATTCTGCGAAGGTCCATCCCTTTAAGCTAACCCTGAATGCCAGTTCTATATGTATATGCCTGATATTTCTACATTGTCTTGTAAGTTGCCAATTGTCGTGTAAATAAATGCGTTTTTGTACTGCTACCCATTCAGATGCGCCCTCTGCTGTCCTTCTAAAATCTTTTAGTAGCAAGCCTTAAAGTGCCATGTGTAGCTTAGTCCTAAGTAGTGGTAAAATGTTAGAATCACTGCCAAACAAAACTGTCTTTGAATGTAAAGTCCAATTAATTTTTTCCATTTGGGAAGCCTATTTTTCTCAAATATTACAAAGCTGTGTTGTTTTAAACGCAAACTGTTGACAGATGATTTTTAATGAGTCATTTGCAATACTTTTTTGTTTAATGTTATATTGTTCTAGTTATTTTTTTTACCAGTGCAATTAAACAAACTTTTTTTTTTTTACGTAGTATTTAAATGCCTGACTTTTCTTTTTGTATTTGCACATAGTATGTTGTATTATAAGCCTGTAATAAACTGGTGATTTTGTAATAATTTTTGTCTGGTGAGTAGTGTGTAAGAAGGATGTCAAACAGATCAACACTTTATCTGATTTTATAACAGGGTTGAAAAGCAAATTGCAAACAATCAAAAATGTGTATTAATTAATCTGCATGCTTTAAGTTGCCAAAAGATGATTTACGATTGGTTGACCTGCTTTTTTAAATAGCATTGCTCTCAGTGTTGCCTTGTTAAATCAACCCACTTGCGTGTTGCTTTCCAATTATGGTTGAAATGAAGGATCCGGAACATTGTGAGGATCCAGGAAATACCATCTGCTAAAGAATGACCAGACAGGAAATCCCATGAGAGAAGTCTACATATTCACATGCTTCTGAGGCCATGACTGAAGTGTAGCGTCCATAGAATTTATGGTTCTTACCATTGAATGCCTGGAAAGAGTGTCATTGAACAGCACTGGCCTGTTTAGTTATTTTCAAACGACATAACCTTAAAAGGCCAACATCTTCAAATATCTAAAAAGGAAACCAAACAGTAATACAATCAATTATGCTACAAAATGTGAAACGCTAACAAGCCACATTGATTTAAATGGAGCCTTAACATTTTTTTCATATTACATGGACTTTGATGATTATTTTTTTACCACATTTAATTTACAAAGGTAGGTTCTTAAAATGGATTCAACATTAGATTTCATTTGTTGCTAGAACTGAAGTTTGGCTAAAAAAACATTTTTTTCTACAGCCTTAGCTACATTAGTTACCTGTGATGTCCAACGATGTGCAAACTCTGGGATTGTGTAGAATTGTTTTCTGTCAGGCTTCCCTGTGCTCTTCCTACTGCTGAACATCAGGCACTGTGGAGGTTAACAGCTTCAGTTCTCCAGGCTCAGCTGCACTATAAGACCTCCTCCTGCCCTTTCCTCTATTGAAAGAAGACTTTCTCAACAGGGCCAGATCTAGCCTGTCCGATGTGGGGGTTCAGTAAAAAATGTCGTCAGGGGGGGGGCAGAGGATCAGAGGTCAGAGGGGCAGAGGACAGGGGTCAGAACTGGCAGGGCAGAGGACAGGGGCACAACTCCTCCTCCCATTCCTGCACTGTACACAGCCTGGGCAAAGGCAGCAGAATTCCCCACACAACGCATAACTGAGATTAGTATAGTGTCAGTCAAGGAAAGTACGGTATAGTGTCAAACTAGGGCCGGAAAGTATCAGATTTGGGCAGCATAGTGGCTTTGGGGTGGCAAAACTAAAATCTGGGGGGCATAGCCCACCCCAGCAGCCCCCTAGATCCAACCATGTTTCTCAATGAAGGAGAGTGCATGGAGGGGGCAGGGATCATCATAAAGTGGTTGTAAACCTCAGACATGAAATATGAACAAAGTATATCCCTCTATAGTATGTACTTGTCTCAATTAAAAGCACTAGGTATCATTTCTTTCAGCTGTATCCTGCCTCAGCTATCAGCATGAGTCACTTCTGACAAGTTTTCCTAAAGGTGACAAAGGGGAGGAGCTCCAGCAGATCGACAGCCTCAATTTTGTTCCTGTGAGCTGTGTGAAGGGTGTGTGTCCCTTTCTCCAATCAGCTCTTACTGAGCTCTGCAGAGTGCAATTTCATCTCTCTGCCCCCTTTTTTTCTGAACTCTAAGACAAGCTTTAAAATTCAGAACTTTAAACAGATGTAGAGACAAGATGGCTGCAGATAGACAGGTACATCTTATGTAGGAGGAAGTGTATCATCTCTGTGCATCACCTCAGGCCAGTCACTTAACTCAGTATATGTAAGAGTTCACAACCACTTTAACCGTTTAAACCACTTCAAGTCCGGACACTTTCACCCCCTTGCTGTCCAGGCCAATTTTTCAGCTTTCAGTGCTATCACACTTTGAATGACAATTGCGCGGTCATGCAACACAGTACTCATATGGATTTTTCAGCATTTTTTCTTAAACAGATAAAACTTTATTTTGGTGGTATTTATTCACAACTGGGATTTTTATTTTTTTGCTATATAAATGAAAAAGTCCAAACATTTTGAAAAAAAAGTGTTTTTCTTATAAAAGTTTGCAAACAAATAATCTTTCTTCATAAATCTTGGCCAAAATAAATTCAGCTATCTTTTTAGTAAAAAAAAAACCCAAATTAGTTTATAACCAAAAATGTATAATTTTTCTAAATGTTTTCTTACATTTTTATATTATTTTTAATTTTTTTTTTTACATACCATCACCCTAGCAGTACAGTGTACTACTTGTGGGGGTGTGATGAAGATTTTTTTTTTTTTACACTGATTGCTTTTACATCCATAAAGGCTGTAAAAGCAACCATTTCTTTCTGGCTGCATTATTGCAGCCATTGAGAAATACTGTGTGAGCTGTGATTGGTCACAGCTTGTCACATGGTACAAGGCTATTGTGAATAGTACCATGTGACCTCTGTGATCACAGATTTCACACGTAGTAAGCAATAATGTCAGGAAGTGACATCTTGCTACTACTATTCATGTGATCACTGACTGGTCAATCAGGGATCACATGAATCGGGACCTTGCACAGAGGTCCCGTACAGCGATTGGTGTTACGCTTGTCCGGAGGACACAGTGGGCACGTATTGCTGTGCCATGCGCTCCCAGGGAGCGTGCACAGGTAGTTAATGCGGGGGCCATTTATAGACGGCAACCTGCTCCTGCACTGCTCCCGTCCGGCTGTTTATGTACATGGGCCAGACGGGAAGTGGTTAAGGACCGCCCTAGAGTAGATATACTGCTGCAGGGCGGCACCTGTGTGCACAATCACGTATATATACATGATTTTGCATTTCTGGGTAGGGGACGCACGCATGTGAATTTGTCCTCTGTGCATCTGCACTTGGAAACCCGAAGCTATTAACCCGCACAATACCAGAAGTTCAGCAGCAGGAAGAGGACAGGGCAGCCCTGCAGTGAATATGTCCACAGAATCCAGCAGTCTGCACATCTTGGTACATCATTACTGGTTAGTAATGTAACTGAAGCTGATACATTTTTATTTATTTATTTGACTAAACGGTAAGTGCATGTATGCTTAATAATGAGTAAGTGTATTTTCTCCCAAATAAATCACAATATTCCATTGCTTTCAACTACTTATCTCTCCAGAAGGATGGAGCCATCTATCCAGGATCACCATCTATTTTGTGGACTGAGATGCTGGCTCAGATCTGCCACGATCACGTAAATCCTGGTGCCTGTGCTGTGTTCATTCTGCTCACACCCGTAGCCCATCATCTTATGACTTGCTGCAAAGTCACAATCTGACCTCTGGGCAAGAGGAGACTGAGGAAATGCTTCCTTCTGCCTGCAGAAGAATAATGGCATCATCTGTTCTTAATTAAGATCTCTTGACTGCTGCTTAAAGCAGAACTTCACTCTCTCAATCAACATTAAATATTTTTAATCCTTATGCTGCTAGCCTTAGTAAATAGGAAAGTTTTAAATTATGTATTCATTCACTTGTTTTAAACACTTTTTTTATGCTTATTCACTTACTTCCTGATTTCCTGCCTAGGCAAATGATATCATACATCCCAGGAGACTTCTGCAGGTTAGGAGGGGTTTTCTCAGCTAAGAACACCCTCCTGCTTGCACGCCTGAGCTAAGGGCAAATGGATTCCAGTAAGTAAATGCTACATAAATCACCTGTCCTTACTCAAGATGGCCACTGCTAGAAATGCTAGGGGGTGTGATTCAACATGATTTGGCAGCAAATTAAAGAATGCAGATATGAATGGATGGGTGAGTTTGTTCTGAATATTAAAAATGAATTAAATAGCATTTTTGCTTTGTGGTGCTCAGATGCAGTGTAGTTCTGCTCCCCCCTATAGCATAAATATTGCTACAGCGAGGCACGTGTGCGCACAATTACGTATATATACGTGATTTTGCAGTTCTGGGTAGGGGGAAAACACGGCCTCGGCTTTCAATCACTCGCTGGCACCTGGTGATTTCCGAGTATTACCAACGGGGGAGAGAACTGTATATAAACAATACAGTTCTCTCTCCTGTCAGCTCCTGCAGACTGCTTTGTATGGCTCTGCATAGCAGAGCCATACAAAGCAGTGTGCTTACAGTGAAGCACACACACAGCACATAATGTTAACCCTTTGATCGCTCCAGATGTTAACCCCTTCCTGCCCAGTGCCATTAGTACAGTGTCAGTGCTTTTTATTAGCACTGATCACTGTATTGGTGTCACTGGTGTTATCAGTGACACCAAGTCAGTTCCCCTCAGTATCAGAATGCCCTCCACAGTCCCGCAGTTCTGTGACAAGTTGCTGATCGGCGCCATTACTGGTAAAAAATTAAATTTGATTTTTTTAAATTTTTTTTATTGGATGTGTTTAATAGCAATAAGTCCAAAATATTGTTTTTTTTTTTCTCAAAATTGTCGTTTTTTTTTTTTTTGCGTATAGTGCAAAAAATTTAAAAATCAAATACCTCCAAAAGAATGCTCAATTCGTGGGAAAAAAAGGATGTAAATTTCATTTGGGTGCAGGGTTGCATGACCGTTCAATTGTCAGTTAAAGTAATGCAGCGCCGTATCGTGAAAAATGGCCTGGTCAGAAAGGGGGGTAAATCCTCTGGAAGTCAAGCGGTTAAGTACTGCTTTCCGGCCCATTTATATTTGTGTAATGTGCTAATCAATGTGTTTTAACCACGTTAACCCAGTCATTCATACTTGGTGGGTCAGGGGCAAGCCAAAATTTGGGAATTGGGTAAATAGAGTAGACAACAATTATAGGATGGAGGAGTTGTGTCATATTGAAGAGGATAGTATGGAAAAATGTAGGAAAACATGGAGTGAGTGGTTGGTCTTTAAAAAAACTAAAAAGATATTTGGAACTGCTTGGAATATAAGTAAATGAGTACTGGGGGAGCTTTTAAGGATGGCCCACAGAGAAAAGGGGATAGGAGGAAGGGAATACAGATATAGACTGATAATGATGATAAAGGTTGAAAATTAGGAAAGTGGCGTGGTTTTGGGGAATTAGGGGGGGAGAGGGGAAGGATGAGGGGAGTAGGGAAAAATATGATAAGAAGTAAATGTGATACATGGGAGAAGCTTGTTATTGTTCTTGTTTTTTCTTTTCTCAGACTTGTGTGTATTTGATGTTATTTTTGTAATAAAAAAATCTAATAAAAGATATAATAAAAAAAAGAACGTGCATTGCATTAATGCAGCTCATTGAAATCCTTCCGATGCACCAAAATGCCCCAATTACAAGACATATCACATAGTTTACATTGTAACACTCTATGGTACGTTGTCATGCAGTGCAGTGCATTACTTTAGTTCCTTGGCTTGTCATTGAAAATGAATGGCACTACTATGCATCAATGCTTGTAAGGAACATTACCACGTGTTGCAGTAGCACAGATTAACGCGTACATTCTGTAACATATAAATGTAACTCTTAATGATAAACAGTGCTGCTTTTTATGAAAAGAAAAAACAAGCTGTTTCTGTAAATTGAGATCTATTAGTAATGTATTCCTGCACATTTAGAAAGTAACTGAAAGGAGCACTTGAAGGCTAGGATCACACTTCTATGAACCAAATTTGATCCTACTTTCAGTGCGATTATGTACTGCAACTTGGATACTACTTTGATGCTACTTTGAAGTGATTTGCATATTCTATGGGGTTAAAATCACGCTGGAATCACCCCAAAGAAGTACAGGAACCAGTTCCAAAATTGTGCCATGGTGAGTTACATTGATGTGAACGAGCACCATTGAAAACAATGTGATTTCCATGCTCATGCGATTCAGTGTGACTCAAGTTGCATCTGAAATCATTCTAGTGTAAATGGAGCCTTAGAAGCAATTTATTAAATTCCTAAATTGGAGCTAGTATTGCACTTGTTTAACTCATGTTAGTGATAAAGAGAAAATACAGCTCAGATATAGATCAAGGACAAATAAATAACTATTTCAAGGTATATTACCTTAGTCAGACAGCTCTGTTAAATCTCACATTTTACTACATTACAAAGCATGTACTGCTCTACATCTTATGATTTGATGACTATAATATAAAAACTGGAGCAAAATAAAAGCAGAATGGCTGCTTACAGAACCAGATTCATTATCCAATCTGCTCCTGGAAAATGAGACGTGAATCAGATTGCATGATGTGAACAATACCTCCTACTTTATTGTTCTTGTTTCCATGAATAAGGATGACACTATTCTTTTGTTTCATAAAATAAAAGATTGTTAGTTAAGGGCTTAGTGAAGAAATGTACATAGCAATGGTATCAGTGCACTAACCAAGGCAGCATAGTGCCTAAATGGTTAGCGCTTCCACCTGGCAGTACTAGGGTCGTGGTTGGAATCCCAACCACGGCACCACCACTGCCTGGAGTTTGCATGTTCTCCATGTGCCTGTGTGGGTTTCCTCGGGTACTCCGGTTTCCTCCCACACTCCAAAGACATGCTGGTAGGTGAATTGGATCCTGTCTATATTGGCCCTAGTGTATGTATGAATGTGAGTTAGGGACCTTAGATTGTGCCGAGGCAGACTGGAGACTATTTTTCCATTTCCGGGAGTAGCGGAGTAATCTGCAGTGTCGCTGTTTCTTATTAATAAGCTAATGTCCTGGCCACTTTTGTATCCATCCGTCGGATCACTCGGGTGGACTGATATAGACGAAGCCGAGACATTAGTTTAATTCATGGGAACTGCTGCACTGCAGATTAGTCAGCCATACCCAAATATGGAAAAGTAGTCCCCACTCTGCCTGTACTGTTCTCCCATTGAGTGCCCCAGCAACCCACACTTCTGGCAGCCATGAGGGAACTGCTAAAAGAGTGTGAATAGCAGAGGATCCTGCCTCGGTGTGCTGTGCAGCTTTCTTGAGAAAGCTCTTCCCTGGGCAGGCACTGCTTGCCTTCTTCTAGGACCAGGAGTTGTAGAGGGGGGCTGGCTGATACTTCTCTGAGCTCTCACTACACAGAACCGATCTTTCAGCTGCAGCCAACAGTGACAAAAGCAGCTGCAGCTGAAAGATCTCTTCTGTGTTCTTACTACCAAACTCTCTGATGGGGATATGCCTAAGCCTGCAGTCTCTGACCATCTCCTGTAATATGTCTGCAGTCTCTGACCATTTCCTGTACTACGACTGCGGTCTCTGAACATCTCCTGTACTATGCCTGCAGTCTCTGACCCTTTTGTGTAGTATGTCTGCAGTCTCTGACCCACTCCTCTGACCCTCTCCTGTAATAGTCCTGCAGCCTCTGACCCTCTACTGTACTATGCCTGCAGTCTCTGACCCTCTCCTGTACTACGCCAGCAGTCTCTAACCAACTTCTGTAGTATGCCTACTGTGTCTCACCATCTCCTGTACTACCCCTGCAGTCTCTGACAAAAAACCTTTAGTACACCTGCAGTCTCTGACTCTTTCCTGTACTACGCCTGCAGTCTCTGACCATCTCCTGTACCATGTCTGCAATCTATGACCAAATCCTGTACTACGCCTGCAGTCTCTGACCATCTTCTGTACTACGCTTGCAATCTCTGACTATCTCCTGTACTATGCCTGCAGTCTCTGACCATCTCCTGTACTAAGCCTGCAGTCTCTGACCCTTTTTTGCAGTATGCCTGCAGTATCTGATCCTCTCCTGTGGTACTCCTGAAGTCTCTGACCCTCTCCTGTAGTACTCCTGCAGTCTCTGACCCTCTCCTGTACTACGCCTGATGTATCTGACCATCTGCTGTACTACTCCTGCAGTCTCTAACCATCTCCTGTGCTATGCCTGCAGTCTCTGACCATCTCCTGTACTAAGCCTGCAGTCTCTGACATCTCCTGTAGTAACTGCAGTAACCTCTTGCAACCAATCAGTGAGTGGTAATGATGTGCTGTAACCTCTAGCAACCAATCAGTGAGTGTGAACCAGTTCTTTGTTAACATTGTTAAAGTTTTTTGAGATAAGTAAGATGTGTTTATTTGTTTTTTGGGATGTTGGAGTGGAAAGCAAAATAGCATGGGAGGAACCTAAGAAAATCTCACTCTATTTACCCATGCCCCTTTAAGCCACGCCCAATATTCAGTGTTCTTTAATCCACACCCATTTTTCAGCTTCGTGCAACACCACCTTTCCTATCTAGTATAATCCACGCCCAAAAAATTAATGTCCCACTCCTAATTAACATACTACTCCGCCTACACTGGCTTTCTGGACATAAATAGAAAACAAAAAAAACAGCGCAAATCAACACCCTGATTCAAACAATGCTTTAAATACAGTGTGAAAATCAATATAAATATGAGATATTCAAACAAATTCATTAAAGTGACCTTTCAAAAAAATATTAAAATAAATATATCATTCATATTATAGTGTCCAGATTAAAATAGGAAAAAAGTCCTTTCTCCCCATTAGGTTGTGAAAAACAAATATCCAAACTAAATAATGCTTCCACCAATCACCAGTGAAAAACCAACATCAACCGCACTCATCAGATGATGGTGAATAATGCGCCTTTTAGGATGTTTTGGGCTCCTATACCCTCTTTATAAGCTTTCAGGGCTCCTTTCCACCCCATATGATATAGGGTATTTTCTTCCACTCGCTCCTGCCTTCTCCTCTCACCAAAAACTCCACAGCAGTGCAAGGGAAAGAAGTATATAATAGTGTAATACTGCGAATAAATAGTGCAATATTTGGTAAAAATTGCCAGACCACTCACATTTGTTAAGATGAGTAAAAAACATCTATTTTATTGCCTCCATAGGCTTAAATGAGTTCAACTGATTCCACATCTCAGACCAGTGACCTCACAGCCTGGTTTTAGCAAGGGATGAAAGGTTACAGCTAGAGATGAGCGAATCGAACCAGGCGAAGTGGAATTCGTTTCGAATTTCAGGAAAAATTTGATTAAAGTGTCCCTGCAGAGAGCTCCGCTATTTCTGACAGTTCTCTGACAGTTCCCTTCACATGTACAGCGGTTGAAACATTGTATCTATTTGTTTCCATTTAGGATACAGATGTTTTTATTCGGAAACAGATACAATGTTTCAACCGCTGTAAATGTGAAGGAACTGTCAGAGAACTGTCAGAAATAGCGGAGCTCTCTGCAGATACACTTTTTGCTGTACTGGAATACTTCTTCTTTTCATTCTTCTTTTCATTCTTCTCATTCTTCTTTTCATTCTTCTTTTCATTCTTCTTCTCATTCTTCTTCTTCTTTTCATTCTTCTTTTCATTCTTCTCATTCTTCTTTTCTTCTTCATGAAAAGAAGAATGAGAAGAAG